GGAGAACACAGATTTCTGTTAAAATGCAGTCTATAGAAACTCATGAGAAGATTCTCTTTGTCTCATTAGAGTCTTAACTTTGTGACATGCCTGCTCGTTACTTACACAATGTACATCTCAAAGGAAAACATATAGCTGGTTATAAATTGGTTTTAATGAATGAACAATTCAAAATAACTTCCTGAATTTGTGACTTTTATTTTCATTTGTGACATTAAGGTCACTTTTACCCCTCTAGTTACAAAATTTGCCTTTTAGTTATTATGCGTTTCAGGTTCACAACAGCCTTGCAGCACTTTGCAAACAAACAAAGAGCTGTAAACGTCACACGGGCCACCTTTTAACTCCCTCCACACCAAGAACGATAACTAAAGACTAAAGACTAGAAAAGCACTCAGAGAGTGCAGACCTCCGCCAAGTAGGTGATATTCCCTCCCCCTCTGCATCAGATTTTGCAGCCTGCATCACAATTAGGTTATTTGCATCACTATCATTATTAGGTTATATATGCCTTCGCCATGGAGACACTGTGGTGTATTTATTTCATTTTTATTTTGTACCAACACAGAATATAATATGTTTATTTGTATTTTTCACTTTCTTTTTTTCCAACACAGAACATTAATTTCAACTTTAGAATTATAACATTTAGCAAGTAGAACTAGACGTACTTTCCGGCCACCAGATGGCGCTATTTTCACCATCTTAATTGTTGCTGAGGCTGTCAAACAATAGACTTTATTTATTATTTTATCCACTTTGCTTAAACCGATCACCACCAAAATTGTATCATCTATTCCTTGTCCCATTATCCACCTTTCCTGAAAATTTCATCAAAATCCGTTCATAACTTTTTGAGTTATTTTGCAGACAAACAAACAAACAAACAGACCAACGCCGGCGAAAACATAACCTCCTTGGCGGAGGTAAAAATTATGAATTTATTGTTTTGAAAATCATTCTAACTCAAATGGTCGAGTCCACACCACAACTATGACGATGACAACAGTGGAAAACGATATCGTTGGGATCACTTTCAGAGCAACACATCGCACTCCGACCTCATCACATATCGACATTTGGTCATGGATTTTCCACGTCCACAGACGATGTGACAGGTACCCTGGGTGTGTTGGTTGTTGACGTTCTGGGACACCCTGTCAAGTTTTGTCTGTTACATGCATTGTCTTCTTTCAAAATAAAAGCACTACGTCGGTACAACACCGCAAATTGATGTTTTTTTCTGTCAACAACAAAGACACGTAGTTAGGTTTAGGCAAATGAGGAACAGCGTTTGGCTTTAGAATCTTAGAGGATGCGAACAGCACTCTCTCGGGTGAAAGTCAGTGGTAGTTGGACCCAGCCACCACCCCTCCTTTCCGCCCCACTCGGACTTTCGCTACCTTAACTTTCATCCTTTTCCCGTCGCTTTTCTCCGATGCCGCCGGGCACTAAAAAACTATAATGGCAATCTGCCGCGTATCATGCCAACGTTAAAGGATGGCTTTTTTGGTTGGTTTCTGATGCAGCAAGTCACTGCGTAAGTGCCGGATTTCGACGACTTCGGAGTGAGACCGTGCTCTTCAAAGCAATTTGATGACTGATAGAAACATGTACAGCCAATAACAATCCAACCGAGCATCATGTCATTTCGGAAACACTTTTTTGATGTTCTACTTTGCTCACTCTGTCTTGGTTATTGTGTTAAATACTTATATGATGTAATATTAGGCTGAAAATTACGCATAAAAAAACTCACTTTACCCTCTACATACGTTATAGTAGGGGTGCAATATATTGTTGTGCTCTCTCTCGCAATAAATAATCGATACACTGAAGGCAAATATTGATCTTTTATTCCAACACACACTCAATGGATTTCCCCCATCGTCACCGTCAGTACTTAATGTCTCCTGTCATGTTTGTGGGGGCGCTAATCCCATAAATGAGGGTTAAGACCGTAAAGTGGGCGTAAGCAGCGGCCGGTGAAAAAGACGAGTTGAGCAGTTAGATGCAACAACAGAAGAAGGGAATAAATGGATAATTACAGACCTTTTTCCTTTTTATGGGTATTTTTTTCTTTTTCAGTCACATATATTGTGATAGATCATTGATGAAATTTCTTGCAATATATCCAATATCACAGATATCGTGTATCGTGATATTATCGTTATCGAGGGCCAACTATCGTCACAGTATCGAATCGTGAGTTACTCGTATTGTCCCACCCCTAGTATATAGACAGTGCATGCAGTGCAGCTGCACTGGGGCCCCTGGGGTGGAACCTATGTAACCTGTGACCAGCTGCGATGCTACGATGACTATTGCACATTAAAGATGTGCCATATCATCTCAATAATACCAATATAATTTTTAATATCCCATGAAAATTCATATCGTGATACTCACAATATTTTGGCTTGTTGACATATTGACGTCATACTGTCATACAGCAAGAAGCATGGCTAAAACTGAAATGACAACACTGACTCCTGTGTGCGCACGGCGAGAGAGGAGAGGGAGAGGCGCTGTGCTGCTGCCAGAGGAGCCGCTGACTTTGCTGAGTTCCCTCTGAGCGGTAAGTCACTGAAAGAGTCTGAGAAGTCTGGGGCTGTTCATAAAACATTCAGGACGCCACAGTTTAGTCCACACTACTGAAGCTGCTCCTCTTTTTGGAACCACCACGGAGTCAGTAACAGTTTCACTTTCAGTCATGCGTGTGACGTCAATATGTCAACAAGCCAAAATATCGCGAGCATGCAGGTATTAATTTTTCCTATCATTTTAAAATGATATTGAGATGATATGGCTAGGGGTGTAACGGTACACAAAAATCTCGGTTCGGTACGTACCTCGGTACGCAAGTCACGGTTCTTTTTTTTTTTCGGTACAGTAATGAAAAAAAATAGACAACTATTAAATATCTTTTACTTATTGGTAACCTTATTAAAACATACCACCACAGCAGTTAACTCTTTTTACACAATTTTTGAATGAAACAAATATATATAAAATCCTGCTTTTTCACATTGTTTGAATGAAAATAGAAATATAAAAGTGAAAAATAAAATCCTGCTGTTTTTTAACACATTTTTTGAATGAAAAATATAAATATAAATTTCTGCTTAAACAGTTTTACTCAATTAAAATAAAAAGTATAGTGCAGCTGGTCAGCTTTAAAGCCTGCTCAGATTCAGTTTTACTAGGAACTTACTGAGCTTTCCCACTTTGTTAAAGTGCAGTAAACAAAACAGGCTTATGTCTAAAGTGCAGCTTAATCAATTTTACTCAACTCCAGTGGCGTTGGTTATTTCTTTAGCAAGATGGTCAGGGAAACGCTCTTTCTTTTTAAACGACGACGATATCGTAGTTTGCACCAGATTGCTTTTTCTAGTCGCGCCAGTTAACGTTCAAACTCGGGTGTCACTTTAGATGCGTTAGCATGTTAGACGTGTTTCCAAGTACATACCCGACCGCTGTTCTGCAGTGTCGGCACACTGCTTTTGTCTTGTCAGCTTGTTTATTTCCATCTTCGTATTTTACCCTGAAACCAAAGTGTTCCCAAACGGAGGACTTAAGGTTTGCGGGTGGGTCTTCAGGTTCGTCAGGCTCACTTGCCATGGGGTCCATGTCATTGGTTCGACATCCCATTAGTCTGACTGTCCGCGGTGCTGAACGGCTCGCGGCGGGCGTATGGTGCGCTGCGACCGGCTTGAGGCGGAGCAGGCTCACGGCTTATGTGTTTGTCACATTCTTTTTCATTTTAAGCCACACCATGCACAAAGTGAAACTGGAGATTGACGGGACTCGGTGCGTCACTCAATTATGTCCGTCAGGGAGCTAGATATTTTAAATGGTTCGGCTCGCAAAAATGGAATTAAAATAAAACAAAATAAAATAAAATAATATCCTGTGCCCAATAATTCGGTACAGGGTCGTGCCGAACCTAAAGTCGCGTACCGAACGGTTCGACACAAATACATGTACCGTTACGGCCCTAGATATGGCACACATTTTATTTTCCTCACGTGGGTCCCTGAGTTACTAGTCAGCCTGTGTAACTTCACCCTCACAGCTTTTGGTTCATTTTTAAAGTCAGCGTGAACACAAAACTCTCTCCGACTGTACGACCTTCACATCTCAACAATGGCTTTAATTCAGTTCAAAAAAATAAGCAAAAACTTTTATCCTTGTGTTGATAATTTCTACTTTGTTCCCCACTCTTTTTTTAAATAGCAACGCAGCCGATTATAACTTTAAAATGCTTAATGGTTTCATATTTGCACCTTTTACTGAAAAGCAGACAAGTTTAAAAGTTTCGAGCCTTGAAAACATGCTGGTCTGAATTAATCCTCCAACTCTCCAGGTGGTTCTGAAAAAAATTTCTAAAAGGCCAATCAGATAGGAGTACGTGAATATTCTTTCACCACAAGTACCTTAAACTCTTATCGCATTATGAGACTCTTAATACCTTACATGTATAAAGAGCAGATTAACCAAAATGCCTGCCCTTGCCTTTCAGCTGTGAATATGGATGCTTTATGAGATATGATTACTGAGATTAAAAGACAGTGTAGCAGGAGGCTTAGCGTATGCGAAGGGCATTTCCGAAACTATATGGTTGAAATAAGATGGTAATGCAGGGAGATTTGTTTAAGGGAGGAATATGAATGAATTCCTGGCAACCGGCTGCTTCCTGCAGCAACATTTTGAACAAATGTGGAGGTTTATTTCAGTGTCAGCCTGTTGACTACATCAGTGTGAGGGGTGTGAATTTACGGAGAGATCCCTTCACTTAACACTCATCTTCTGGATGATGAAAAAGCAATATGAAAGTATGTGTTCAGGTAAGATCAAACAAAAGCGCTGCACTTTTCTCTCACATCGTACATCACACACATTTTAGCATGAATGGCTCTTTGTTGTGGGAGAAGGGGGCACACACTCTACACACACACACACACACACACACACACACACACACACACACACAGACGTACCAGAAGTTCTTGAAGGGTGTGTTGATTTCAAAGACTCTGCGGTCCACGTCTCGAACGTTGGCAGCAGTCAGTTCCACTTCTGCGATAGCCAGGCCCGCTTTATAATCCTGGAAGAACACAAAGAGACGGAGATGCGGAGATTTAATATCAATCAGCTGTGAGGTTGTTGCAGAGCAGCTACTTCAATTGTCAAAAATAATGGGCTTGTTTTTTTCTCATTACCACAAAACTTAAATGGTAACTTGAGTATTTTTCCATCTAGACACCATTTTCCCATGTTTTTGTGTTCAAGTGACTAATGGGAACAACCTTTGAAAATGGTGCAGTGCTGAGGGTGTCGGCACCAGCTGCACCTGTCAATGTACGTCCACTGAAAGTGCTCGTTTTTGCCACTGATGGGCCCAGATTGATATTGTAAGTGTCTGATAACATTACAGAAAGGTTCCCTACAGAGATAGACCTTTCTGTTAAAGAGTAAGATCCTTTTTGTTTAACCAGAAACAGCCCTGAAATCGCTATCGCCAAACCCACCAGACTCCAGGAATTTTAGCGTGTATAGAGCCAGCATGTTTTCACATCTAACTAGGTGAATCAATAGTTTATTTAAACCAAACAAGAGTTGGTGATTGTTGGAGCAGTGGAAAGAAGAACCAAGACAGTTTTTGTGATCTATATATTGCTCCTGTTGACTTTGAATAAGATGTGTTTAACAATCATAAAAATACTGTTTATTTAAATGAGGTTTGGCTAGTTGGGCAATACCGATTTCAGAGCTGTTTCTGATTAAACAAAAAGGATCTTTGTCCTCAACGAAAAGGTCTGTCTCTGTTGTAATTTACATAATGATGTCAGAAACTTAGAACAACAATCTGAGCCTGTGGCAAGTGGCAAAAACAAACACTTTATAGTGGACGAAAATTGACATTACCAAACGCCCCCAGTGGTAACACCACAGCCTGTTTCACCGCTGCCAGTCACTTTAACATAAAAACAAGGGAAAATATGGTCCAGGTTCAATAACACCAAAGTTACCCTTTAAACCCATAGCAAAAAGCCAGTAATATTCTTAGATAGAGAGCTACAGACAAGAAGATCAATACCTCTCTCATGGTAAATATGAAGCTATGCCAGCAACCAATTAGCTTAGCTTAGCAGTTTTATGGGGAGGTTACACCTTTCTTGGAGGGAAATCTTTGTTGGCACACTTTGGTTTATGTACAGATCAAAAAACTAAATACAACATGTTATTTTGTGAGCTTTAGAGGTTGTTACCTATGGTTTTGTTTCCTTTGGATCCTTTGATTCCTGAGCTAGCTGTTTCCCCCTTTTCCAGTCTTTATGCTTAGCTAAGCTAACCAGCTGCTGGCTCCAGCTTCATTTTTGCCACACAGACATAGAAGTGTTAATCATATTTTTGTTTAACTCTCGGCAAAAAAGTGAATAAGCGTATTGCTCAAAATGTCAAACTATTCGTTTAGAATGTGCCAGTTAAAGGGTTTAGTTTGGTGTTTTTCAACCTGGTCCATATTTTCCCAAGTTTTTGTGTCTAACTGAAAAACAACAAATTTGGTCCAGTATTGAATAAGAGCACTGCATATGGCAGCAGCTGCACTTAAACTGTTTGTTTTTGCCACTGACAGGCTCAGATGATTGTTTTAAGTGTGTAAAAACATTATATAAAGGATCCCGACAGAGACAGACCTTTAGTTTAAGAATAAGTTCCTTTTTGTTTAACGAGAAACGGCCCCAAAATCGTTATCGCCCAGAACCAGACCCAATTTAAATACAAAGTAATTTGACACAAATAGGCTCAATTTGTTACTATACGTGTCCGACAACACTACGGAAAGGATCCCTACAGAGATAGACCGTTTTATTTAAGAGTAAGGCCTTTTTGTTTAACGAGAAACAGCCCCAAAATCGTTGTCGGCTGGAACCAGACCCAATTTAAATACAAAGTAATTTGACACTGATAGGCTCAATTTGTTACTATACGTGTCCGACAACACTACGGAAAGGATCCCTACAGAGATAGACCGTTTTATTTAAGAGTAAGACCTTTTTGTTTAACCAGAAACAGCCCCAACATGGCCATCGCCAAACCAACCAGACTCAATTTAAATAAAAAATTATTTCATTGTCGTAAAAAACACTTCATTTTGAAGTTGACAATCTACAAAACAAAACTCCTAAAAACAGTCTTTGTTCGTTTTGCCACTGTTCCAACAATCATCAACTATGGTTTGGTTGACATAAACCCTTAATTCACCCAGTTAGACGCGCAAACATGCCGGCTCCATTCACACTACAATTACTGTTCATTTAAATGAGTTCTGGTGGGTTTGGCGATGTAATATCAGGGCCGTTTCAAGTGAAACAAAAAGGATCTTGTACTTTAACAAAAAGGTCTATCTCTGTCAGGATCCTCTCTGTAATGTTGTCAGACACTTACAATTTTTTTTCCCCCCGTTAAAGGGGTTTTTTTGGGGAGTTTTTCCTTATCCGCTGCGAGGGTCATAAGGACAGAGGGATGTCGTATGCTGTAAAGCCCTGTGAGGCAAATTGTGATTTGTGATATTGGGCTTTATAAATAAAATTGATTGATTGAAAATTGATTGACAATATCAGTCTGAGCCTGTCAGTGGCAAAAACAAGCACTTGAAGTGGATGTAAATTGACAGGGCGACGGGAAAAATATGATCCAGGGTGCATCAGTTAGCCTTTAAGATTGGTTTTGGGATCTGATTAGGATTCCCCCTGACCCTCTCCCTGTGGAGGTATTCCAGGCAACAAGGAGGAGACCCCGGGTCAAATCCAGAACTGCCTGCGAATACCTTAGGAAGCCCAGGAGGAGCCAGAGGAATTGACTGGGAGAAAAACACCCCAACTGCAAGAGGCAGAAAATGAATAACTGAGAATTCTACTTTGCATTCAATCACTCTCCCATTTTTAATAGCCGGAAATTAAGTGTGAAAATGTTCATAATAAATCTAAAAACTGTTCAAAACAGCCAAATAAGAGAAAATGTCTTCCCAAAAGGGCCCCGCAAATGTTAAGGTCCTCCACTAGATACCACCTCATGCCGTTTTTTGGCCAAATTAGAGACCCTTCCTGATAAGGTGGGATCAATAGGTCGTCTCATTAAAATCTCAACTTGTTTTTCACATTGAGCTTGAATGTCATTTGGTCTAATGTAGACTAACACCAAAGAAGACCCACAATCACTGCGGAGACAGCCTCAGTCTCTGTTTGTGTGTGTGTGTGTGTGTGTGGGTTTTTTTTTAAGTAAAATGGCATTGGAAGTAGAGTGTAAGAGAAAATAGTTTGTGACAGAGTGATAACACACCCACAAGTCACCGGCCGATGACGCACATGCCAAGTGTGTGACGTGTGTTTGTGTTCAAGACAGACAGAAAGAGAGGCTTCTGTGTGTATGTGCGTGTATACCTGTGTGAAACAGCAAAGCTCTGCGAAAGGCAAAAGGTGCATCTGGGGAATCCAAAGCAACCCAAGCTTTCAGCCTCAATGTTTTCTGAGGCCCGTTTCAGAAATAGGGGTTAGATGCAGAGGCACAGTTTTCATAAGCTCCACTGTAACTCCGCATCACACCACGGCCCCTCCCTTCTCCACTTCACCCTCAACACTCACAGCCGTTCAGACCATTTTCTATAGCCTAGAGCTCAGAGGAGAGACAGAAAAACAGACAGAAAGACAGAAGAAGTGCACCTACGCCCACACACGTATAGGCACAACATCAAAATAGAGCAAAAAAACACAGGCGCCGAAGATTACAATACAGAAAACTACACAGACAAAGCCAAAAACGTGAGTCAAAAGATGAGGGAGAGAAAGACAACGAGAACACAAAGGAACGGGAAGGAGGGAGAAAGTATAAGTGAAAGAAGGTCTCGGTAATTCTCACTGAGAGTGGGTGAGACGAGTGAGGGGTCAGCTGAGCAGTTGACAGAAAGAAAAGTGAGTGTGGGTGTGGAAAGAGCCAGAACAAAACAGGAGCTGCGCCAACACTCCTCAACAGCGAATTACAAAATACTGCCTTAGCGAGGAGCGCTAAACGCTGCCATGCTGTGCCAGCTATAAAAGCATGTGTGTTTTCTGTGCTAACTGTTCTTCACCAACAAAACAATTTGCACTAATTACACCAAACAAAGAGAAGAAAATGAATGGCTCCATCTTTGTTGATTAGGCGCTCTTTGGGAATACATGGCCTGGCAGAGGGAAGACGTATGTGTGTGTGTGAGTGTATGTGCGGGAGAGCGCTGCCACGTCTCCTGCAGAATTCTTCAACTAATTAGCGACAAACTTCACACTGCAGCCAAATTTTGCAGATTGCAACACAAGGAGGAAGTCACTTAAATGTTTGCGTGCCGCCGGATTTCCAACCTGATCTTTCAGTCTTGTGTGGGTTGGTTCAATTGGGGCTAATGTTGTCAAAATCTTCATTTGACCATCATTAGCCCCGATTAGACTACTTCAAACAAATTTAGAGGACTGTGGTGAAAAACTCGAGCAATTATTCTCTTTTTCTAACACTTGTGCACAATGATACTGAGACAGAGTGAGTGGAAAGGAACATAGTGATGGGCTAGAGAGGAATTCCTATGAAGCATTAGCAGTAATTGAAGGGTGACGTTGGTATTTCTCAACATGGACCATGGGAACAACACTTTCAATTAATTCAATTACGAGCAAGAGCGCTGCAGTCGAAAGTGGCAAGACAGGCTGCAATGTAACCACTCAGGGCATATGCACATCTTCTATAATGTGCTTGTTTTTGCCACTGACAGGCTCACACTGTTATTCTAAGTGTGACAACATCATGGAAAGGATCCCTACAGAGACAGACCTTTTTTGTTTAATCAGAAACAGCCCCAAAATCACTTTTGGCAAACCCACCAGACTCCATTTAAATACACAGTAATTTTGTCATCGTAAAAGACACGTCATTCAGAGGCCGACAGAAACAAAATAAACGTTGGAAAAGTTGTCTTGGTTCGTCCTTCCGCTGTTCCTACAATCACCAACTCTGGTTTGGTTGAAATAAACCCTTAACTCATCCAGTTAGATGTGAATATCTGGTTAGGAGTCC